ATCATGATTTTGCAATGCCACAATCCAACTTGCTCCTTAAAATGAGCTGATGTCATAACTCCCTCTCCATGGACGTTATCCAAATGGGCGTGTTCCCTCTTCTGGTTTCCATTCCATAACCGGTCTCATCTATCGACCTATTCTGACAATGTGACCCTACCCAAAACCAATTTCTCAACAATCGACATGCTTTTGATTTAAAGCTTTCGTGACTGCAGTAATTCATATTCTTAGCTTTTTCGGTAAAGTCACGTTGAAGGGAAACAACAAAATAATACAATATATATAAAACACTAAAAATTCTCACGACGTTTCGACCATAACTCAAACGGTCGACATGCTGTTTCTAATTTGCATTTTTTTCTCTAATCCATGTGGTCCTCTCTGTCTCTCAGTGTACTTTATTTCTCATCGTACATCTCAGCACGCTTAATTGTGCCCTTTTCAGTTCTTGTACAGTTTTATGTTAATGCCCATGTTTCAGATCCGAGACAAAGCAGACACCATTTACTGACTGAAAACCCTCCTCATTATAAACATTGACGTAACTTTTCATCATCAAATTATTTTACAAAAAGTACTCCAATCTGCCCTCGTTTGCCTCTTTATTATATGACTTTTAGCTCGATCCAACATAAAAAAAAAATTCCAAGGTAGTATAATCAATTCCCTCGTCAGTGCGACTTGGTGAAAATGGGGGACATAGATGTGATCATATAAGTACAACACAACGGTGTTTGCTACACTGCCCTCTGCTGACCACCACGTGGAAATTGCGTTATGACAGCCTGGCATGCATTGTAGTACACGTGTCTTGCTCAACGAGTGTTCTTTTTAGGAAAATTTGCGATGAGCAATTTGAATTTAGACTGATTTGTTCGCAAAATATTTGGTCGTGTAGGGGAAGGGGGCCTCGTGGTGGCACTTAATGCGGGAATTGAGTTCGATTCACGCTCATGGTTAACACCAGTGTAAACATCGCCACTCGGGATACAAAGGCGGACGGGCGTGGTGCTGGCCACCCACCCCTCGTGTGCCGTAACGGCCTTCATAGGTGCTCGCTAACAGCACTTACCCCACCAGTCTAAAGCTATACGGGGGACCTTGCACTGTGGTTCTTCGCGTGTGTGGTGTTACATTCGATGTTTTATTGCTTGATTTTAAAAGTATAATTTGTATTTCTCATGTTTAAGAAAGTTGTTCAAGTGTGGACAAATTTGGTGCTGAAACGTAGCTCAGCTTTTAACATGGGAGTGAGTCACGGGGAAAATCACGACTGTTTAACGAGTTTTTTTTATTGACCGAGCAATTTTCGCGGAACGTATCTCGCTCGTTAAACGAGACACGTCCGTACTGTACTGTATTCCCATGCACGCGCGATCTAGGCTAAACATTGCTTAGGTTCAGATACGTTTCAAGATCAGACGCATTCCAGGTAATTTGGTCCTAGATAAACATTACGGTCCTGTACATAACCATGAATACTGTAGGCATGTATCACTTGCAGTGGTAAATTTCGTAATTAATTCATAAATCACGTCCAGGTCTGTGTTACCTCATAACTCACTGACAGTGACTAATAAAACAGATCAGTATTATGCAATAAATCAAATTAACACTTGACACGTTAAGAATGAAATGCGCTCATGGTTGCACTTTACGTATATCATATGACAAACACTGGCAGAATGTAATACTTTTATGGTAGCCTTCCAACAATCAGAGATGTATTTTTCCATCAGTGCGTGAGAGCGACTGTTTTTAACACCACGTTGCCATGTGCAAAGCTTAAATTGTTGTAACATTGAGAATGATCAGTTTGCCAACATAAATTGCGTAGATTCCCTTGAAAGAGCACCCTGAAGTAGTTAATCTGGAATGTGTTACATATCATTAGACCATGCGAGTGGTTGTATACATTTCCAAATGAGTAAAATACACGCATGGCAAAAAGTAGTTTATTTGTGAACACGCTTGTGTTTAAAAAGAACTACGCCAGCAACACCCGACAATATTTAAAATGTCTGATCAGCGAAGCATTATGGTCTATAACAAACAAAAAGTTAACTCTCAATTCACAAGACAATAACCTCAGCTGTGCGCCACTGGAAGCGGTGGCGTCTATACTTTGCGGGAAAGGAAAGGTACATCATCACAGCTGAATGCTGCACTCGGTGTGTAACACACGAGCTCCCAAAGCACCAGCACGCTGCCCCCAACCGGCAGCAAATGCTGAGGACAGGCCGACACCGAGCCCACATTCACGCACCTTTGCCAGAACGCAGAAACTGCTCAGCGTTTCAAATAACGGTGGGGGGGGCGGGGGTTTGGGGGGGGGGTGTTAGATGGTGATGTCATCATCAGCGAAACGTCGGACTCGAATTATAAATGTTGTAGTGTGTTTACTATCCAACACCGGGTGTGCAGAAACGGTAACTAATTGGCACTTTTTGTTTAAGTGACAAACCTTACTCATTGGCTGTGTCGGGTGGTGGCGGGTTTAACGACACATTTATACTTCAGTGATCGACGCAAAAAACAATTATTATCGATGTTATTGGTCGCAAAAGCCTACATATTCAACTGCTTAGCGTTTGTATCACCATTCAAATGCTATGTGTGGATTAAGAACACGTTACATATTGAAACGGTAGTACCTCTAAAGCCCTTATTTACTCGAATGATTAAACAAAGAAGAATCGGTAAAAGACGCGGACGGGACATGTACAAGTGTTGTATTCCTTTGTGGACATACTGTAATGAAACCTTTAAAAAAAAGTGACGTGAGCAGGACACGTGGCTCGGAGGGTTGATTACAGTTGATAGTGTTTAAAAAATAATCTGTAAATGCAATAGTGGAGTATGTATTTCACTGCGTACACCTTAGCATAAATACTTGTCCAAGCAATGGAAAGTATCAGAGAGTACGTGTGTGGAGGAGATAGAGCAATGGAGTCAGCTCGTGTGCAGGCGCTGGGTGGATAACAATGTTAACATCGCTGGGTGGAGGGAGTTTACGGACGGCGGCTTGAGGAGGCCTTCATCCAGCATTGGATCGACCATGCCTGACGATTCCCTTTGGAGCATTTTCAACCAAATCCGACGAGAACAGACACTGCGGCAGCAATCCATTGAAACACAAACGTTGTTGCATGCATGGTGTACAGACAGGAGCGTTGCACGCCTATTTAAACACATTTCCAGATTTACCCGTCCTCATTTGCCCATGTTAGAATGTTTTGCAATAGCCACTGTGCATTTCATCATCAGCCATGATCAATCCACTGCTGGATGAAGGTCATCTAAAGGTCATCTGAAGATCCTGCGAAACAACAATCCGCCTAGCAACCAACCCACTGAGTATACAAAAGCTACAAATACCTTTATGAGCATGTCAGTATTTAAGGCTGTTTTTGGAAATACATCAAATTCCTGCGACCAATGTGAAGAAGTATGGTAAAACAAACTCCGGCCTCCCATCCAACAGCGGATTGGAAACGGGCTGTGCGTTGTTATTATCATTATTATTCTAAATCATGGCATCCGTGGTTGTATGCATGTATTTTTAAACATGAATGGAAAAATGTCTTGCAATCCTCTGTACGCATGCGAACCCCACTCTTCACTTAGTCCCTCTTGCGTAAAAACTAACAATTGCAAAGTTGCCTAACTGCTGTTAGCCCGCTGTGAGCAGTCTCATAATCCAGGTTGTATTGTTTGTATTATATTGTAAAAAAAACACACGTCCTTCCACCACCGCTTAGGGATGAAATGATTAACTTAGACTCGGTTTTTTTCACTGGTGAATGTAGCGGCCTACGAGTGGCTGTGGCGCCAAATTGAATCCGTTAAGTACATACAATCTTCTACACGCGATTAAGATGCGCCTGTCGTTTATCGTCAACCATACATATAATCAATCCGCTGCGAGACGAAGGCTTCCCCCGCACACCGTGTCCTTTGTGTGGGGTTGTCTGCCCATAATATCAGCATATAAAGGATGATGTTAATCGGCATCAATCGATGGATATTGGTGGAGCGTTGTCGCTGTAATATCTGAAACCGCTGGTTTTAATAAGTATTTGACATTTTCAATTTCGGAACCTAACAGCGCAGTGGTTAGTTAAATTCCCGGCAATAGCTTTAACATTAGTGGCAAAATATACCTTAAACATTCGTAGCTCGCTTTTCTCCCACTTCACCAACCCACATTGACGGATACGGTCTCGAGGGAGCCCATCCAACAACAGATTGACACATTGCTGAAAATGATCATGATCGACATCATCATCATGATCGACATCACCAGGTCCACTGTTGGACGAAGACCCCCCCAACCTGCCAACATCCTACCGCTTGAGCGTCGTGATAAATCCACCGAGACCCAGCTCGCGAGCACCTACGCACGGGGAGCTGATTGCATCATTCCATCTCATCCCCTTTTTGTTACGTGGACATCCTCTCGATTACAATAATGATGAAATGATTACACGGAACCCATACGTGCGGTTCCGCACACACCCTTACATGCCGTGATCACCCACCCCCCCGTAACTTAGGGGTGCAGGCAAGCCGGAATAATTCACCGTGCTGTTTGCTGCTGGCATCTCTCCAAGAACTTCCAAAAAGTGACGCACACACGTAGGGGGTGGTGGGGGGTGGTGTGTGGGGGGGTGGTGGGGGTGGTGGGGGGGTGGTGGGGGGTGGTGGTGGGGGGTGGTGGTGGTGGGGGGTGGTGGTGGGGGGTGGTGGAGGGTGATGGTGGTGGGGGGGTGGTGGGGGGTGGTGGTGGTGGGGGGTGGTGGGGGGTGGTGGTGGTGGGGGGTGGTGGTGGTGGGGGGTGGTGGTGGTGGGGGGGGGGGTGGTGGGGGGTGGTAGGGGGTGGTAGGGGGTGGTGGGGGGTGGTGGGGGGTGGTAGGGGGTGGTGGTGGTGGGGGGTGGGCCCGGGAACTGACGCCGCACCGGGCCGGGCCAGTGATGTAACGCGCGGCAGCAGCAAACCACGATCCGGGGCCGGCCTCATGTTTCTTATAAAAGACGGGTCTGCTCGAACGAGAGTGTCACAGAGGCGGCGACTTGTCTTGAAACACTTTTTGTTTATTTTATTTTTTGTTTGTTTCTCTCTTCGACGCTCCCTCCACACACCCGCCTTGCGACAATAGTTATAATAAAAAGGATCCGGTACGTGAGAGTACCGTACGCGTCTGTATTTGTAGCCGAAACGACGAGTCGTTCGCGAAATAGCGCGATAAACTTGTTTCCCTTTACTTACGTTACGAAAAGATACGTTGGGAAATTTACCAAGGGCTGCGTGGTTTCTCAGTTCGGTACACTTTAGTGTACTATTAGAAGTGCAGGGTGGTGGTGAAAAACACTCGGTTGTAAGGCGGCTCTGCATAAATACTGCGGAGAAACTGATTTTTTACGCAGTGACTATCTCGCACATTGCACTTACACGTACGTGTGTGTGTGTGGATACAGACACACGTACGTGCATTATATCATACTGACTTAACGCGGCGTGCGTTAAGCCTCACTATAGACTGGCAGACGGGCAACAGACGCGGGCATTGTACAGGGCCGCCAGCACGTCTGTGCGTACAGCTCATCGCAGACGAGAGGCGGCAGCAGGCACGGTAGAGCAGCAACAGAGACAGGCAGACACAGCCGTGTGTGTGCCCCCCACCCCCGCCGGTAACCACACCACTCCCATCAACCACCACAATGCGCCGCAGTCTCCTCCACACGTTCCAACCGCGGCCGCCGCCGCAGCTTCTTCTTCTGCTGCTGCTGCTGCGGGTCGCTCTGCCCGTCGCCGGTGCCAGCGTCTCCTCCTCGTCCTCGTCGTCCTCGTCCTCGTCGTCGCCGTCTGACGATGCGGCCGTGCGATGCGAGCCGTGCGACGCAGCAGCGCTGGCCGTGTGCGGCGAGCCTCCGTCGGGCTGCGCCGAGACGGTGCGGGAGCCCGGCTGCGGCTGCTGCCTCACGTGCGCGCTGCTCGCCGGCGACGCGTGCGGCGTCTACACGGAGCGCTGCGGCGAGGGGCTCGGGTGCAGCCCGGCCCCCGGGGAACGGCGGCCCCTCCAGGCGCTGCTCGACGGCCGCGGCGTCTGCACGAACCTCACGGTCTACAGGCTGCACCAGCAGCGGCAAGGGGAGGGAGCGACGGCAGCGGCGGGTGCTAATCCCAACGAGAGCGGGCAGGGTGAGTGAGGGTTTGAGGATTAGGGGAGATTGATTGTCTCTTCACCCATCCCACACACACCCCCCCCACACCACTGTGGCTGGGAGGTGACCGGCAATGTTTATTACGTTGTGCCCGTGTGTCGACGAGGTCGGTGTGGTGAGCCAGTGGTCGAAATGGGGAGCGGGTTTAGACCAAAAAAGAGAAATGTGAGAGAGGTATGAACGTTTTCAGTGGTGGCAGGGTACAATGCAACTCAAAATGAAACGCACGCACTCTCAACACGTCCATCAATAGTTACGCGGTGTATAGCGTGTTGTCTGTAATTACAAGTCGGTGCAACATCTCGGCCGCTCTCTGCTTTGAAGATGGGCCATTTCTCGAAACGTTAGCCAACTACATATTCGATTATTTCCGTTCTAAAGTATGAGTGGTAAATGCGAATGTGTTGAGTGCTTTTGTGGATGAGACGTGTGGTTGGTGATGGTGAAATGGTGGTTGCACGCACTGCGCCATAGATCATGCGACCTGGGTTCCAATACCAGCCATGAATATAAACCAATTGGTGAGTGGTGGTCAAAGCCCCCTAAGTTCACTCTACCAAATCAACACTGGGGAGAAAAAGGCGGCCGGACAGGTTGTGCTTACTGACCACACCACCCTCCCGTGTGCCGTGCTGGGTCTCTTAATAAGAGCTCTTGTCTCCCAACAGACGTGTGCAAGGTCCACATATTCAGATTCAGAATGCCTGGCTTGGAGGCGTGCATATTCGTATACGCGAATGTTGAATCGGTGTGTGTGTGGATGTGTACTGGTGAATGTTAGTGTATATAATAGTGTCATTAGTTTTATGTGTTGAAAGCACCTCCCTGTGTGCAGGTTATTGGCGAGGTTCCTGTGTAACGTGTGCATAAAAAAAAATGCACGTAAGCATGTGTGCACGTATTCGAGTGCATGCAAACGTGTGCAAATGTAACGTATAATTATCTCAGTTCATGCACAAATACCGTACTGCGCCCGTACTGTGTATACAATCACCCACAATTCACATCATGCGGATATCTGGAAATGCGGAATTTGCTCAGCTTACAGCTAAGTGCTGTCAGCGATATCTATTCAATTAAACAGAAATAATTGTCCGTTACATTACGAGAAAACCTTTACAGGTTTAACTTTGAAACGTTTGGCTTTTGAAGCCTCAAAAGTGCATCGCAGTTTCTCTTTGCATAGCCCAGCTTCAGGAATGCCGTTCACGTGTCGCGCCCATAACTGCACTTTATTCAGATCGGAATCTGAAAAAAAATTCTCGCTAAAAGAAGCGTTCCAAAAAAAAACCCCAGAGGAGATCATTTATTTACCCCCATGCCCCGTCATTTTGAATGTGCAAAGTTAACTTTGAGGGTTCATGTTAACATGGTGAAGTTTTAGAGCAGGTTTAAAAATTGTGACCGTTTTTTCTCTTCATATTTGAAGCGTTGCAACTCCAAAGATATAAATCTTCATCTGAAACGTCTCAGTGTACTGTATATACTCTGTACAAAGGTGGCATTGTCCATCATCTCTCTATGGAAAACGTGCAGAATGCACTCACTTAAAATACAGATATATACTACAGTGTTGTGCATTGCTTCGTGTATCTTTATGGTGAAATAACTGAACGGAACGTGGCTTTGAAACGCACGCCCTGCAAGTTACATTCTGGGGACATGCGAATGTGAGGCAAGACTAAAACGCCGCACTGTGTGCAATGCGCCATCTGCATCCACTTTGCTATAATTGCTGGCCCTCTTGGTGAACTGCAGCAAAAATGAACTCACGAAGTAATGAATGCAATAAAACATCGTGAACACTTCATTCCTGTTGCAAAAGCTTGCTCGGAGATGAACCCATTTAACAAGAAATCTATTGCGCGTGTCGGTGAAATTGGTGCAGTGAACATAGTTCACGATTCAAGCCCTGCTGCATAACAGAAAGCAAGTGTATATGATCGTAGGCTGTGCTAAAAATCTGGCAACCTGCAGTTAGATTTCTGAGCGCAGCTAATATATCAGTGGAGTGATATCAAACGTGTCCTGGGTCTCCCCAACGGCGACTCAGCCTTAAATGAGTACCTGGCGTGTAAACATCATTACAGGGAGACAAAGGCGGGCAAGCATGGTACTGGCCACACTACCCCTTCTAGGTAGTTGTTTGCTGACAATACTTGTCCCAACAGCCTACGTGTTAAACCGCCTATAAAGGCTAAATGGGGAATCTTTGACTTTGTTAATGCTGACGAGGAATGACTTGTTTTGCAGGCACTGTGAACTCGAGCGAAGAGGCAGAGTCTGCGACGATGCTGCCGGTTGAGACTGCACGCATCACCACGCATCCGCCCAGGCCACACAACCGGCTCCTGGAGGCGGAACTCAAGAAGCTTCGCACCGGCATGAAGACCTTGGACCAGAAGGAGAAGGGGGACACGCGCATCCACCAAATGCTCAGCAAACACCACGAGAATGATTATGTAAGTGCCTCCATGGCTTGCCGGCTCTGTGCCTTTCAAACCCCACTGTTACCCTTTTTGCCACTGCAGGTTATCTGAAACAAGTATAGGATCTATTTTTTGTATTCCTCAGAAAAGTGCTGTACCCCTTAACCTCCGCATAGTTACAGTCACAGCAAAGCCAAACTCTGAATTCTGATGGATGGTATTGCTCTGCTTATGTAATATCCGTGTAGCATATCAAGACATGAGGAAATACACTTTGTCATTAATAGGTTAATGTGAATTGCATAATTAAGCAATTTTTAAATGATAACGTCCTTTTAAAATATTGTTTTGCACAGGTTTCATCCGCTAACACTACCTTGTACACATTTGACTTTCACCAGGGACCGTGCCGCAAAAACATGGAGAACATTTTGGAGAATCTGAAAAGCATGTCACAACTGAGTCCGAAAGGCATTTACATTCCAAACTGCGACAAGAAGGGCTACTACAAGAAGAAGCAGGTAAACATCTGATCCATAGAGAATAATTTCACTTTCATATATCTCTTATATCCTGCATTGTAATAGTCCATCAAGCACCTGCACAGGAGCTGATTGCATTGCTCAATCTTTCCCCTATGGGAAAACCTGAAACCCAGTTCTCAGTAACTGTCAATTTTTGTAAAAAAATTAAAAGCTTAACACAGGATATCACAATTGTATATTTGAAAAAGCATGCATATTCCTATTTTGTGAATTATTTTCTTCATTTTTGCAAAAACGCTACACACTAACGTCTGCTTTTTTAAAACCAAAATTTGTCAGATACAACCTTTTTAAAGGGTTGGAATTAGGTTGTACATCACCAAATATTGACGCAGTGCCAAAGAAATATCGCATTGGTTAGGAAACAATATTTAAATGCACACCTAAAACAACTACACTTACCTTTTTGTGTTGCAGTGCAAGCCATCGCGGGGCAGGCAACGTGGCCTCTGCTGGTGTGTGGACAAGTATGGCCAGCAGCTGCCAGGCTCGGAGTCGCAGAAGGGAGACGTGCATTGTCATACTCAGGAGAGTGATTAGGCACCGAGATGGAGCAGAGCTATTAAGGCATAGGATGGGAACGAATGGACTTAAGCCGACAAGGTGAATAGTGAGGGCAGTTCGGCTTTAATGGTTAGTTAACATGTTGAGGTAGTTGTAGGTTTTTATGTTTTGTTACTGGCTTCATCTGAGATGAGGCGATATCCATTCCATACTGGAAGACGTTGTGGTGTGTTTGTGACTCTGCACTGTCCTCGTGACTGCTCCAGAGAGCTGGAGACGGAGCCTGCAAGAAGTCCTGGGGAAGAGGCGTTTTCATCTTTATTGTTTTTAACCTTACAGAAATAAACTTGAAATTATGGTTTTCAGCCAGGGCTGCCAATTATAAGTAACAGTTGTAAATGTTTATATTTGATGCCATGTTATTTCTTTGAAGGATTGAGATTGCTTTAATGGTTTCTCTGTGGCTTGTTTTGTGGATTGAATCTAAAACCTGTAATTTAACAGCCAGATGTTTGCAATTAAAACACATCATGAAACACAGTATGCTTCATAGGTTAGGACACTGGAAGGATCAGTGTTGGGATATACAAATTCACACATACTTTTTCCGCCTTTGAAAGATTCTTGTCTAAAAGTCCCCACCAGCTGGTGATTTTGTTTATGTTTTTTGGCAGCCCTCGCCACTGTGTACATGGAAAACCTGGTGTGTAATCCATCTGTAGACATATAATCCATCTTTACATCAGCATTAAGTTAAATGTATATCGTCAACCTTTATCAACAATTACTGCTCCTGTTCAGATTTTTACATTTAACAACTGTGACTTCTCTTCATACCTTGGGCCAAATTTGACAGCTCTTAAACCAAACGGGGAGTGCTATCCTTTTCTATTTAAGTTATTTTATTTTAAGATATATTTGCCTTTGTTTGTAAACTTGAAGTAATACTTCAGCTATTTATGCGTTTTTCTAATTTAAATCATGGTGTATCATTTTTGTAATAAGTTCTTGTATTGTGTATTTAAAGATTCAGTCTAATTAAAAATATTTAGAAATTATGTGTTTTTTTTATTTGTGGCCTTTAAGCAAACTTTACATTTCTATAGTTCATGTTTGTGAAAAAAAAATCTAATTCACAGTTTTACTGCATACTAGCCAACAGATTAAACTTAACAGATACCATCAGAACATGGTCATTCTCTGTACTGAACTTCTTTAAAACCCACTTCACAGTAAATCAATAAAATTGACATCACCATGCTCAATCAAGAGTTGTGGAAGATGCATTGGCAAGCCTGAAGTTTCCTAAGTTACTTATAGCGTCTTTGCCAGCTTCACCATACTGCTCATTGTGGATTGTTGAAGGGTGTGGGGGAGGAAGGGGTCACCTAGAACCGGTTTAGATATCATTAGCCACTTATGTTGATCGTGGCCAGGAATTTAACCCAGGATATTGAGTTTATCACCCTGAACTAGGGGTGTAAATTCAACACATGGCAGATACCAGTCTCTACAGGGCAGTCACACTTTAATCCATTTACAGTGGCGTGGGGAGGGCTTCAAGCAGTGGAATAAACTGAATGAATGTCAACTATAGTTTGGCATCACAATATTAAAATGCTGAATGACGTCTAAACCTCACTGGCAAACTTCAATTACTTCCTGGTGTGTTAAAGGCACAACATCAAGTGTACCAGTCTGTGAAAATATTCCATTGAAAAATAAATCACGCAGGACTGGTATGAATTGTATTATGCATATCTGCAAATATAAGCAGGCTATATTCAATATACGCGGTGACCCTTTAAAGGCGGTCATAAATATTTTACATAACTTGAATGTTTCCACTTGGTCCGGAATGTATAAAGGTGGGTGGGTTTTTATTAAATGGCTCCAATTTCTTCAGTAATCTAAACAATATGACACGTGGAATGTGTTTAAAAGTTACTGGGTTTAAACAGCTACAGTATTTACTTACCAGCTGAGACGCTCTTCCAGGTGTGGCAGCGTGCAAGAAGAACAGCTCACTCGTCAATCTGTGCCATTTTCTCAATACACAAATATTAATACTCTTTTCGTTGGGGTTTTTCCGCGCGTTTTTCACACGGATTCCCCCTTCCATAAAGCAGCCTCCAAAGAGTATGCCCCACTTTATCCCATCAGCCACCCATCTGTCGGGGTCCTCCAGTTTTTTCCCTCCACATTTAGAAATGCGCGTTCGGAGTATTTTGCTGCTAAACATTTGCACGTGATAAGCCACTTCGTTGAGCTATTATATGTGGCCAGGTAGCTTCTGAAAAAGAGCTATATGGCTCTGGGCCGTACCTGGTAAAATACAAAAAATAGTTTGTTTATCCACGCACCCTTGCTTGTTCGTTATAATTGCCAAGTCGTCCGCTTTAGTTTCCTCTCTTCTTCCCCCGTTACTTCCTCCCCCATTGCTCTTCTCTCCCAAGGGCACTCACCGCAATACCCCTCGGTCCTCCTCTTCAATGATACTCTCCGCATAAGCCCCTTTCCCCCCAAAAAAACATTCCTATAACAATGTCAGCATGGTGTAACCAGAAGGGTGCATTTGTGAGAAGGAGAAAGACGTGCGCACACACAACCACGCCAACCCAGTGGTGTTGCCGTGACCTAGCCTTAAGAGGGTCATTAAACAACAAAGGGGGAGCACGGCAAAGGCAATTTCAAACAAACGTAGCTCTCACCCTTGTGTGTGTGATGATGCTGCGACACCCATCGCTTGTCACCACTGCCGTAAAATATTGTACTAACACTGTTTGGGATTGACTATAAAACATTAGATGGGGGGGGGGTGAGATTTCAGCAGGGAGAACTCGGCCCCTCCCTTTTACCCCCCGTTAGTTCCCCCTTGAGGATACGGGGATGTATTAAACAAATGTAATGGTTCGACAGAGGCGCACACACGCGTATGGAGGCAACACTATTAACACAACTGTAACACACACTATATATGTAGTGGATTAACACGCGCATACAGGGGGGAATGGTAAAGACGCGCGAGTTATGGACAGTGGGGTTACGTCGGGCCGGTCAGGTGTGGCGGCGGGAAACTGTGCGGTAATGACGGGCCAATTAAGCTGGAGCGCGATGTACGGCTGTGATTGGCCGGGGTTGTTGTCAAGGGCGAGGTGGCGCCGGGATGTCTGGGAATAGAGGGGTTCAAGTAACAGGTGCGGGGGGGACGCGGGGCGTCGGTGGCACGTGGCCAAATTAATTGGTTGGTAATGAGAACGGGGATATATTCGGGAGATGGGAAGAACGAGTTGAGTTGTCGCTGGGAATGGAACGAAGCAGGTCGGGGAGAACCGGAGTGAAGACATAGGAGACAGAACAAGCTAGCAGTAGAGCAGAGACAAGCAGAGACAAGCAGAGAGAGACAGAGACAAGCAGAGACAAGCAGAGACAGGCAGAGACAGGCAGAGATGGAGTGGGACCGAGACAGAGAGACAGAGACAGCGGGAGAGAGACAGAGATACAGCGTGAGACAGAGACAGAGAGGGACAGAGATAGCGGGAGAGAGACAGATACAGCGGGAGACAGAGACATCGAGCGATGGAGAGAGACAGAGACATCGAGCGACGAAGAGAGACAGAGACATCGAGCGACGGAGAGAGACAGAGACAGCGAGTGACGAAGAGAGACAGGGACGACGCAGAGAGACAGTGAGGGATAGGGGAGGAAGCAGAGTGAGCGAGACGGGCGGAGCGCGGCGAGCGAGCTGCGGCTAAGCGGAATGACAGTCACAGACATAATGTGAAGAGTTGTAATAAAAGTGGTGTCGGAGAAAACAAGAAAGTTGTCCGCGTCAAGTCGACCACTACATTTGGTGTCAGGAGTGACTACGGTATGTTGGATATATTAGCGACATATACAACAGGTACCATGCCGACATGTCAAAGAAATCGGCTAAGCGAAAGAACGTGCCGACAGACTCGTCCGACGACAGCAACGACGTGGACGTGATTCCTGCGTCCGGGCAAGAAGGTGCTGCTCCCCCGGCGGACCTGGTCGACCAGGTGTTTGCGGGGCGGGAGGACGAGGAGTCTAAGCCAAAAACTGCCTTCCGAACACCACAGGGATTGTTCCATTTTAACGTGCTCCCGATGGTGCTCCATTCCACGCCGGCCACCTTCCAATGCCTGATGTAACTCGTGTTGTCCGGATTGCAGTGGGAGTTGTGCTTGATATACCTTGACGACGTCATTGTTTTCAGTAAAGATTTGACGAACATTTGCAGCGGTTGCGTGCCGTGTTTGGCCGAGTGCGGCACGCTAACTTAAAATTTAAGCCCCAAAAGTGCCATTTGCTGAGGACGTCCGTTAAATACTTGGGTCACGTTGTTAGCGCATCAGGAGTCGCCACCGATCCGGACAAAACGAGCTGCGTACGCACGTGGCCAGTGCCAAAAACGGTGTCGGAAGTGCGTAGCTTCGTGGGTTTCGTGTCATATTACCGCCGATTCATTAAAGATTTTGCCACAATTGCAAGGCTGCTGCACACCTTGACAGGTAAGGGTAAGAAGTTTCTCTGGGGTGACGAGGAACAGTGTTCATTTGAGACACTTCGGGGCGCTTTGGCGGACGCACCGCCGCTTGGATATCCGGATTTCACGAAAATGTTTATCCTTGACACAAATGCCAGTGACACTGGCATAGGCGCCATCTTGTCGCAAAATATCTACGCTGTTGAGAGAGTTGTGGCGTACGGTAGCCGCGTGTTGTCTCCGGCTGAGCAAAAATATTGCGTGACGCGCAGGGAGCTGCTGGCCATCGTGCACTTTGTTCTGCTGTACCGACCGTACTTGTATGGCAGTGAATTTTTGGTCCGTACTGACCACGCAGGGCCACAATACTCCTTGCGGGTTGACCAGCCTTCGGGCCAGATGGCCCGTTGGCTCGAAATTCTGCAAGGGTATTCCTTTAAGATCCAACATAGAAAGGGAACGCGCATGTCAACGCCGACGCTTTATCATGGTTGCCGCAGCCGACAGGCTCGTGTCGGTGTGCAGAGGGCTCACTGCGTTGCAGTCCATCGCTGCAGGACGTTCCGGCTATGGTCACAGCGGAGGGGGTTTCCGCTGAGAGGTCCGGCATATTGGGGTTGACGCTGGCCCATTGGAAGCGCCTACAGGTGGAGGATTCCTCCCTGGCCAGAATGAGGCTTCGGGCCTCTCGTTCGAGGGGATTGGTGGATCGCCCCTTCCTTCAGCTTGTCGACGGTCTCCTCGTGTGCTGGGACGTCGAACTGCAAAATATCTGTGTTGTTGCTCATTTACAATACACACGAGAAACTGATGCATTTGGGTGAAAAAAAAAAACGCGCTGACCTTCGGGAAGGAGTTTTACCTTCTGATTGGAACCACGTAGACAACATGACTGCTTCTTCTGCCGATTCACTTTCAATCAAATGCAAAGCTAACCTAATCGCTAAATTCAACCACCTATCAAAGAAAAACCCGGTTCCACAGATCACAAAACTAGACGTTAACAAAATTGTTATCAGAGTAGCACCCCGATTTCGGACAATCTGAAAACAGTATTGGCTAAAGGACTAAATTTTGCTGTGACCCCAAAACATATACCGATAGATGAAATCATTTCTCAGGTCGATGTAGCCCTCAAAGGTATAGGACACATCCAAGCAGACGTCGCGAGAGCTGAAATAGCTACTATTCTTAAGAATGCTAAGAAACCCATCAGCAACATCAGCAAAGATGAATGCTCTGAACTCGCGAAATTAAAAGAGAGACATGATATAGTCATCCTCTCAGCCGACAAGGGCAATGCCACTGTAATTATGGATACAAATTGATACAACAATAAAATTCAGGACCTACTCAATGATGGTAGTTACTCAAAAATTAAAAATGACCCTATTAATAGCCTAACTATAAAAACCAACAAGATCATCACTTGTTCGACCTCCCTAATCGAATCAACTAAACGTCCTTCCCTAAAACCTTCTGCTGCAAGACCCCCTAGATTCTATGGTCTTCCAAAGATTAATAAAGAAGGCACAACACTACGACCCATCGTATCCACGATCAACTCCCCTACCTATAAGCTAGCACGTTTTCTGTCAGATACCTTGCTGCCTTTCACTGGCAAGACCTCCTCAGTAGTACTTAACTCAGCCCAATTGGTCTCTATGGTCAAAGACGTTGTAC